TGTGGAACTTTGAACTTGAGAGAGCTGATTTAGGGTATCTGGCAGAAGAAATTTCTAAGTGACAAAGCATTCAAGAGGAAGCAGAGCATAAAAGTTCAAAAAAATTGTGGCCTGACAATGTAAGAGAAAACAAAACCCTATTTTCTGGAGAGAAATTCAAGCTGGCTGTACAAATTTACATAAGTAATGAGGAGTCAAATGTTAATCACCAATACAATGAAGAAATTATCTCAAGCGCATATCAGAAACCTTCTCAGCAACCCCTCCATCACAGACAACCATAGCAAAAAAAAACAAAAACAAAAACAAAACAAAGCTGAAAGCATCACACTACCGAACTTTATGCTACAAGTTGACAGCAACCAAAATTACATGGTGTTGGCACAAAAGTAGACACGAAGACCAATGGAACAGAGTAGACAGCTCAGAAATAATGTCACCTACCTATAACCATCTGATATTCAACAACGTAGACAAAAACATTTAATGGAGAAAGGACTCCCTGTTCAACCATTGGTGCTGGGGTGACTGCCTTGACATGTGCAAAAGATTAAAACTGAATCCTTTCCTTACACCATATACAAAAAATCAGCTATAAAACCTAAAAATATAAAAACTCTGGAAGATAACCTAGGAAATGCTATTCTCATCATAGAATCTGGCAACGATTTTATGATGAAAATGACAAAAGCAGTTGTAAAAATATTTAAAAATGATAAATGGGACCTCATTAAACTAATGAGCTTCTTCACAGCAAAAGGAACTGTAAGTAAACAGATGACCTCCAGAATGGAAGAAAATATTTGTAAGGTATATAAATATGAATTTGTTTAAGTTACTTATAGAACTTTGTCTAGTATCCATAATCTATAAGTAACTTAAATTTACAAGCAAATACAAACAGCCTCATGAAAAAGCAAGCAAAGGACATGAAGAGAAACTGTTCAAAAGAAAACATACATGCGGCCAACAAGCATATAAAAAATGCTTAACATCACTGATCATTAGATAAATATAAATCAAAATCACAATAAGATACCATCTCACACCCATCAAAATGGTTATTATTAAAAAGTCAGAAATTAATAGATGTTGGGGAGATTGCAGAGAAAGGGGAAAGCTTATTCACTGATGGAGGAGATGTATGCAGAATGTGCAGGTTTGTTACATAGGTATACATGTGCCATTGCAGTTTTTTGCACCCATCAACCCATCTACATTAATTATTTCTCCTAATGTTATCCCTCCCCTAACTCTCCACTCAGCCACAGGCCCTGGTGTGTGATAGTTTCCTCCCTGTGTCCATGTGTTCTCCTTGTAGAACTCCCACTTATGAGTGAGAACATGCAGTGTTTGGTTTTCTGTTCTTGTGTTAAGTTTGCTGAGAATTATGGTTTACAGCTTCATCCATGTCCCTGCAAGGACACATACTCATCTTTTATGGCTGCATATTATTCCATGGCGTATATGTGCCACATTTTCTTTATCCAGTCTATCATTGATGGATATTTGGGTCAGTTTCAAGTCTTTATTATTGTGAGCAGTGCCACAATAAACATATTTGTGCATGTGTCTTTATAATAGAATGATTTATAATCCTTTGGGTATATACCCAGTAATGGGATTGCTGGATCAAGTGGTATTTCTAGTTTGAGATCCTTGAGAAATCAACACACTGTCTTCCACAAAGGTTGAACAAATTTACAATCCCATTAACAGTGTAAAAGCGTTCCTATTTCTCCACATCATCTCCAGCATCTGTTGTTTCCTGGCTTTCTAATGATTGCCATTCTAGCTAGCATAAGTTGGTATCTCAATGTGGTTTTGATTTGCATTTCTCTGATGACCAGTAATGATGATCTTTCTTCATATGTTTATTGGCTGCATAAATTTCTTCTTTTCAGAAGTGTCTGTTCATATCCTTCATCCACATTTTGATGTTTTTTTTTTTTTTCTTGTAAATTTCGCTTTTTGTAGACTCTGGATATTATCCCTTTGTCAGCTAGCCTTCTGTCAGATTTTGTCAGATGCAAAATATTTTTTCCCATTCTGTAGGTTGCCTGTTTATTCTTATGATAGTTTCTTTTGCTGTGCAGAAGCTCTTAAGTTTAATTAGATCCCATTTGTCTATTTTGATTTTTGTTACCACTGCTTTTTGTGTTTTAGTCATGAATTATTTGCCCATGCCTATGTCCTGAATGGTATTGCCTAGGTTTTCTTGTAGGGTTTTATGTTTTTGGGTCTTGCATTTAAGTCTTTAATCCATCTAGAGTTAATTTTTGTATAATGTGTAAGGAAGGGATCCAGTTTCAGTTTTCTGCCTATGGCTACCCAGTTTTCCCAACATCATTTATTAAATAGGGAATCCTTTCCCCAATGCTTGCTTTTGTCAGGTTTGTCAACTATCAGATGGTTATAGAGGTGTGGTGTTATTTCTGAGGCCTCTGTTCTGTTCCATTGGTCTATATGTCTGTTTTGGTACCAGTACCATGCTGTCTTTGTTATTGCAGCCTTATAGTACAGTGAAGTCAGGTCATATGATGCCTCCAGCTTTTTTTTCCCTTACAATTGTCTTGGCTATGTGGGCTCTTTTTGGTTCCATATGAAATTTAAAGTAGTTTTTTTTTGAATCTATAAAGAAAGTCAATGGTAGCTTGATAGGTATAACATTGAATCTATAAATTACTTTGAAGAATATGACCATTTTTATGATATTGATTCTTCCTATCTGTGAGCATGGAATGTTTTTTCATTTGTTTGTGTCCTCTCTTATTTCCCCTAGCTGTGGATTATAGTTCTACTTGAACAGGTCCTTCACATTCCTGGTAAATTGTATTCCTAGGTATTTTATTCTCTTTGTTGCAATTGTGAATGGGAGTTCACTTCATGATTTGGCTCTCTGTCTGTTATTGGTGTATAGGAATGCTTATGATTCTTATACATTGATTTTGTATCCTGAGACTTTGCTGAAGTTGCTTGTCAGCTTAACGAGATTTTGGACTGACAAGATGGGGTCTTCTAAATGTAAAATAATGTCATCTGCAAACAAAGACAAGTTGACTTCCTCTCTTCCTAATTGAATGCCCTTTATTTCTTTCGCTTGGCTGATTACCCTGGCCAGAACTTACAATACTATGTTGAATAAAAGTGGTGAGAGAGGACATCCTTGTCTTGTGTTGGTTTTCAAAGGGAATGCTTCCAGTTATTGCCTATTCAGTATGATATTAGCCGTGGGTTTGTCATAAATAGCTTTTATTATTTTGAGATATGTTCCATCAATACCTTTTTTATTCTGAGTTTTTAGCATGAAGCAATGTTGAATTTTGTTGAAGGCCTTTTCTACATCTATTGAGATTATCATGTGGTTTTTGTTATTGGTTCTGTTTATGTAATGGATTATGTTTATTGATTTGCATATGTTGAACCAGACTTGCATCCCAGGGATGAAGTGACTTGATCATGGTGGATAAGGTTTTGGATGTGCTGCTGGATTCAGCTTGCCAGTATTTTATTGAGGATTTTTGCATTGATGTTCTTCAGGGATATTGGCATGAAATTTTCTCTTTTAGTTGTGTCTCTGCTAGGTTTTGGTATGAGGATTATGATGGCCTCATAAAATGAATTAGGGAGTATTACCTCTTTTTCCAAACTACTATTTGTAATCGTTTCAAAAGGAATGGTACCAGCTCCTGTTTGTACCCTGGTAGAATTTGACTGTGAATCCATCAGGTCCTGGAATTTTTTTGTTTGGTAGGCTAGTAATCGCTGCCTCAGTTTCAGAACTTGTTATTGGTCTATGCAGGGATTTGAATTCTTCCTGCTTTAGTCTTGGGAGGGTGTATGTGTCCAGGAATTTATCCATTTCTTCTGGATTTTCTAGTTTATTTGCATAGAGGTATTTATAGTATTCTCTGATAGTAGTTTGTATTTCTGTGGGATCATTGGTGATATCCTCTTTGTCACTTTTTATTACATCTATTTAATTCTTCTGTCTTTTCTTCTTTAGTAGTCTGGCTAGTGCTCTATCTATTTTGTGATCTTTTCAAAACCCAGCTCCTAGATTCATTGAATTCATTTGAATTCTTCCTGCTTTAGTCTTGGGAGGGTGTATGTGTCCAGGACTTTTTGAAGGGTTTTTTGTGTCTCTATCTCCTTCAGTTCTGCTCTGATCTTAGATATTTCTTGTCTTCTGCTAGGTTTTGAATTTGTTTGCTCTTGCTTCTCTAGTTCATTTTATTGTGATGTGAGGGTGTTGACTTTAGATTTTTCCTACATTCTTCTGTGGGCATTTAGTGCTATAAATTTCCCTTAACACACTGCTTTAAATATATTCCAGAAATTCTGATATATTGTGTCTTTATTCTCATCAGTTTCAAAGAACATCTTTATTTCTGCCTTAATTTCATTATTTACCCAGTAGTCATTCAGGAGCAGGTGGTTCATTTTCCATGTTGGTGTGCAGTTTTGAGTGAGTTTTTTAATATTGAGTTCTAATTTGATTGCACTATGGTCTTAGAGCCTGTTATGATTTACATTATTTTAGATTAGCTGAGGAGTATTTTACTTTCATTTGTGCTGTCAGTTTTAGAGTAAGTGTGATGTACTGAGAAGAATGTATATTCTGTTGATTTAGGGTGGGAAATTCTGTAGATGTCTATTAGGCCTGTTTGGTCTAGCTGAGTTAAAGTCCTAAATATCCTTGTTAATCTTCTGTCTTGTTGATCTGTCTAATATTGACAGTGGGATGTTAATGTCTCCCACTCTTATTGTGTGGGAGTCTAAGTCTCTTTGTAGGTCTCTAACAACTTGGTTTGTGAATTTGGGTGCTCTGTATAGGGTGAGTATACGTTTAGCATAGTTAATTATTCTTATTGCATTGATCCCTTTACTATTATGTAATCCCCTTCTTTGTTTCTGTCCGACCTACCCTCTGCGGGAGGACTGAGCTCGTTCGGAAAAAACCGGACCGCAGGTTAGAAGAAAATCTTTAAGTTCAGGCTTTACTGAGAGGAAAGAGCCTCCGGGTGGGCCAGCCGGGAAGAAGAGGAAAATGGCTGTGCCGCTCAGAGGAGCAGGGTTCTTTTATAGGGGGCTGAAGGGCTGAGGGAGTGGGGAAGCTGAGAGAGCCGAGGTGGTGGGCAACGGTTGGTCAGTTTGAACCGCTGGGCGGGAAGCTGGGTGGCGGGAAGCCGGGCAACGGGAAGCTGGGGAGTGCTGATGAGGCAGAAGCTGGGCGGGAGGTGGCTGTGGCCAGGGGGGAAGGCTAGGGTGGTATGTAGAGTGAGAGATAAGGGAGCCTCTTTGCGGGGGAGGGAAAGAGAGCTTTCACGGTAGGGGCAGAGTTTTCCAAACATTCCCGACTCCTTAAAAGAAAAGAAAAAGAGGGGGTCAGGGGCATCGGTTGTCTCTCTGGCTACTTTCTGCTGACAAGGGTCGACCGGGGGTTCTGAAGAGGTTTCTCTTCCTAAGGATTCTGGATGTTTGGGGAGAGGTCCACTTCTAGCACTCGTTCAGGGTAAGGTTGGAGCAGCATCTGGTGGATGGTGACTCGAGTTGGTTCTTGAAAGCGCCGCTGTAGAAACTGTAGAAAGCAAGGAGCAATAAGTAAGATTAGGCAAACAGCTATTAGGGGCCCAAGCAGCGGGGACAAGAGGGTATACATAGAGGAAGACCACCACTCTGTGGCTTCAGCTGAGAATTTTTGATTCTGCAGGTTAGTTCTGAGTTTCTGGAGGTTCTCGATTCGGGTTTCTACTAGGCCGGATTCATTGATATAGTAACAGCACTCTTCCTGTAGGAAGATGCAGGTTCCTCCTTGTTCGGCGGTGAGCAGATCCAGGGCTCTTCGGTTCTGCAAGGCAACTTGGGCAACTGAGGTAATCTGTCGTTGGAGTGATGCTAATGACTCAGCAGAGTCATCAACAGCAGTTTGGAATTGTGAGGTTAGCCGGGCTATAGCTTGGTGAGAGTGGGCTAGTGCTCCTCCTCCCAGTCCTGCTGCAAGTGCTGAGGTTACTAGGGAGATGCCTACAGCTAGGGGCAGAAAAGCAGCTCACTTGGTGCGGTGGAGCGGTGCTTGTAGCATTTGGAATTCGGCTGAGGAATATATAGTGAGTCGGGGGACTAAGGTCACTGGGAGGCATAAGAGAGTTGGGGATTGGCCGGTATGGAGAGTTTTTGTAAGGGTTCTGTTACACCAGAAGAAGGTTCCCTTTGGAGCTGTCAGATTGGTGGTTACCAGTATGGTTTTGTTACAGTTGGGGTAGTTCCGGCCTAGGGAGTAGCATACTGGTAGCTGTGTAAAATCAGGTGGAATGTAGAGATTTACTTCTCTGATGGGGGAGAAGGGAGAAGTTGAGGCTGAAAGGTTGAGAGGGATGGGGTAGGGGACTGCGACAAAGGGAGTTTGTCCTAAGGAGGCACACATGAGGCATGAGGTTAGGTCAGTTAATCCTGAGAGGTTAGCTAACTTGATTCCTTCTTTGAGAAAGGTTAGCCAGGAAAACAGAGGCGACTGTGGTTGCAATTGGTTATTCAGAGATTTTTCTTGTAGGTTAATAGCGGAGTGGACTTGGTGGACCATACGTACGTATGCCCGCTAAATGTACAGGTGGGAGGAGGGATATGCAGTGTCTCGGAAATCATATAAGGCAGCTTTCTGAGGGCTTTTCCACCGGTCATTCCAAGGGTCAGGAATGAGAAGAGAATACCGTGTATAACCGGTTCTGACATTTCCTTCTCTATCTACATCTGGAACAATTTTGAGTTGGGAGAGATCGCTTAGTGGGTCTCCTGGTGTTGTAGCTACATGTAGTTTACAGTATCCCCAGTTACATCCCATGTAGGAGTGCCAGGGAGTATTACTGCATTTTCCTGATGGTTGGTCATAGTTGAAGCATATGACAGGTAAAACCCCAATTCCATCATGGACATTGTAGAAATGAGTGAAGATTAGGTATATGGCGCTTTGGCACCCAGCTGCGGGGCAGTCAGCAGTTGCAAGAAGATGGTTTTGGCTGTATGGGGGGGTGTTACAGATAAAGGTGGTTTTGGTATAGTTTTCAGTTACAAAAAATCTCCATCTTTAGGGGCTGTGGCTGCTAGGCCCTGGTAAGTTTGACAGATAAAGGGCCAGTAGGAACAGCCTTCCAGCATGAGGAGGGTCCATGAGGGGCCTTTTTTACCCAAGACAGGTGAACCCAAGATGGGACTTCAGCAACTTTTATGGCCGATGGAGTAGTGAGGATGACGGTATATGGTCCCTCCCACTTGGGGGTGAGGAGCTTAGGGGAGAGGGATTTAATAAGAATTAAGTCTCCGGGGGAGACTTTTTGCATATTTTCTGATGGCTGGGTGGGTTGGGGAAGAGAAGCGTTGGCATGCTCTCAGAGAAGGTTGCGAAGGAGAGTAAAGTAGGGGAGGTAGCTGTCTAGAGGAGTGGTTTCTGGCGGTGGGGGAGTTGAAAGTAGGAAGGGGTGACCATACAGCAGCTCAAACGGGCTAAGCTGTGATGGGCCCCGGGGGCTTGCTCTTAACCTGGTGAGGGCGATAGGAAGCAAGGTTACCCAGGATTGGCGGAGCTCAAGCATGAGCTTGGTCAGATGCTCCTTTATTAGGCCATTGGCCCGTTCCACCTTACCAGAGGACTGAGGATGGTAGGCAGCATGTAGCTTCCACTGAATTCCTAGAGAGGTAGAAACAGCATTAGTGACTTTGGAGATAAAGGCTGGGCCGTTGTCTGACTATATGGTGGCTGGGAGTCCAAAGCGTGGGACGATGTCTTGAATGAGATGAGTGGCCACTGTCCCAGCAGACTCAGAGGCTGTGGGGTAAGCTTCAATCCAGCCTGAAAAAGTGTCAACAATGGTTAGCAGATAGCAGTACTGTTTGTGCTTTGGCATATGAGTAAAGTCGATCTGCCAGTCTTGGCCAGGTAGGAACCCATGTAGCTGATGAAGCTGGCGCCGAGGAAGACAGGAACCCTGGGAATTAGTTTTCGCGCAGACAGTACAGGAGGACTGGACTTCCTGTATGGTACTGAGGAGGTGGTGGGGGTGAAAAAGTGGGTTGAGGAACTGGTATAGGGCTTTAGGTCCAATGTGGAGTGAATTGTGGATGTCTTTGATTATTTGGTACTTTTGCTTTTCAGGGAGGATGAGGAGGTTATGCTTGAAGGCCCAGTCATCCGTGAACTGTACCCCGGGGGTAGACTGGAGAATCTGAAGTTCTGAGGCGGAGTATTGGGGGCTATATGACTTGCACAAGAAACAGAGAGTGGAAGTGGGTGGCGGATGGTTTCTTGCCATATCTTTAGCCACCCTGTCTGCAAAGGCATTCCCCGCGGCTATGGGTGAGTTCAGGGACTGATGCCCTTTACAGTGGATGATGGCTACCTTGCTAGGGAGTTGAACAGCCTGAATAAGGGCAGCAATGAGTTTTCCATTGAGGACGGGCGTGCCCTTAGTGGTGAGGAAGCCTCGTTCTTTCCAGATCATGCAGTGTGAGTGAGCTATGAGGAAGGAGTACTTGGAGTCAGTATATATATTTACTTCTTTGTTCTGGGACATGGATAGGGCCCGGGTGAGGGCGACCAGTTCAGCCTGTTGTGAAGTGGTCCCAAGAGGAAGGGAGCAGGTTTCTATAACTTCAGAGTGAATTACTATAGCATAGGCTGCTCTCCGTGGCCCGGTGGGATGGGGTATAAAGCTGCCATCAATGAATAGGGTGATGGAGGCAGATGGTAAGGGTTGAGGGAGCAAGTCGGGGCGAGGGGACTGGGCTAATTTGAGGATTTCAGTACAGGAATGTAGGGGGCTGGCATACGGAGGGCAAGGGAGGAGGGTAGCCAGGTTTAACGAGGAGCAGTGGGAGAGAGTGATATTGGGGTTCTCAATAAACAGTAGGTGAAGCAGTTGGATACGGGAGGGCCTGAGGTGGGGCAGAGAGTGTTGACTGAGCAGCTCAGTCAACCTGTGTGGAGAGAAGACTTGGAGTGGGAGTTGTAGATTGATCTTAAGAGCTTCTGTGGTTAGGGTGATGGCGGCAGCTAGGGCTCTAAGGCAGGGCTGCCATCCTCGCTCAATTGGGTCAAGTTGTCTAGACAGGTAGGCTATGGGCAGAAGGGTCTTTCCTACTGGTTGGACTAGCGCTCCTACAGCTGTGTGTTGTTTCTCGTCCGTATATAATTGGAAGGGTAAGTTGGGATTAGGCAGGCTAGGCTGGTGGAGGTACATAGGGCATTAAGCAGTGACTTGAACGCCCGGTTGACAGAACCTGGTGAGGAGAGTGGTCCCTCGGGGGCTTCTGCAGCAGCATGGTATAGGGGTTTAGCTAGCAAAGCATAATTAGGTACCCAGTGGCGAAAAAACCCTACTAGTCCTAGGAAGGAGAGGATTTCTTTTGCTGACTCAGGGGCCTGGAGCGCTTTTAAGGCTTGTAATCAGTCGATTGTGATGGACCGTCGCCAAGGCATGAGCTGTATACCTAGGTAGGTGATGGTGGGTGAGGCTATTTGTGCTTTGGTTGGTGACACCCGGTATCCCTTATCTCCTAGGTAATTGAGTAGGGCGGTGGTGGCCTGGATACACTCTTGGTGGGTGGGAGAGCAAATAAGAAGGTCATCTACATACTGGAGGAGGTGAGAGGGCTTGAGGCTACAGTGGAGTAGGTCAGTGGCGAGTGCCTGGTCGAATAGGTGCGGGCTGTCTCGGAAGCCCTGTGGAAGGACTGTCCAGGCCAGTTGTTGGGACATGTTCGTAAGGGGATGTTCGTAAGGGGATCATCCCAAGTGAAGGCAAAGATAAAGTAGGAGTTGGGGTGTAGAGGTATAGTAAAGAAGGCATCTTTTAGGTCTAAGACTGAGAAACAGGTGGTCCCTTGGGGGAATGTTAGAGAGAATGGTGTATGGGTTGGGGACAACTGGATGTATGGGAATTACGGCTTCATTGACCAAGCGCAAGTCCTGGACCAGTCTATATTGTCCCGAGGGTTTTCGTACTGGGAGGATGGGGGTATTACATGGGGAGTTAATGGGGATTAGGAGGCCTTGACCTTTTAGTTTCTCTATGATGGGTCGGATACCCATACGGTGGGCTTTAGAGATGAGAAATTGAGGGCGGAAGAGAAAACAAGGTGAGGAGTCTTTAAGGCGGACCTGAACTTGCTGGTGGTGTGTAGCTACAGACGGGTTGTTAATGTCCCAGACCTGAGGGTGGACTCCGGGGAGTAGTTCGGATAGGGCTTTTTGGGGTTCGGTATCTGAGGTGAGGGCTAGGAGAAAGAGGCTGTGTGGGTTGGCGGTGGGGAAGGTTATGACAGCCTTTAGCTTTGAAAGATGTCTTGTCCTAGGAGGGGTACTGGGCAGGTGGGGATTACTAAAAAAAGAGTGGGTAAATGGAGTGGAGTTATATGAGCACATGAGTGGTGGGGTTTGGTAGGGGATACTCAGGGTCTCGTGGATTCCCATGACCGAGACCTGGGAAGGGGTGAGACGGCCAGAATAGGAAGGAAGTGCAGAGTAGGTAGCCCCTGTGTCCAGCAAGAAGGAGACACTTTTACCCGATACCTGAAGTGTGACCCTTGGCTCGGCAAGGGTAACCGGAGTCGGAAAGCCAGGGCCCCACTAGTCGTCTAGCAGCCCTAGTAGACTGGGGAATGGAGCTCCCTCGGAGGTCGGCTCCTGGCAAGCAGGCTCCTCCCTACCGAGGGTGACCGTCGACTGCGTAACGCCAGTGTGTCTGTTTTGAGGAACCGGCACCCTGGGGAAGCTGGGGCAGTCTGACTTCCAGTGTCCCGGGAGCTGACAGATAGGGCAAGGCTTAGTTGGTGGCCATGGTTGTGGACAGGCCCGGGACCAGTGTCCTTCCTTTCCACATTTGAAACATGCCCCTGGAGGGGCATAGGTTTCGGCCTTGGGCTTCTGGTTCCCTGCTGGCCTTAGGGCCGCCATTAGGGCTTGGGTCTGGAGGGCAGCCTTCTGCTTCATGTGAGTTTGGTGGGCAGCCTCAGCCTCATCTTCCCTGGCATTGAATACTTTAAAGGCCATTTTTACCAGGTCTTGGATGGGAGTCTCTGGCCCCCTTCTGCTTTCTTTAGTTTCTTTCTTATGTCGGGTGCTGATTGGGAGATAAAGTGGGAGGCTAATACAGTGGCCCCATTTTGGGAGGCTGGATCTAGCCGAGTGTACCGGACTAGGGCTTCTTGTAAGTGGGCGAGAAAAAGGGCGGGATTCTCATTGGGTAGTTGGGTGATTTCTCTTAGTTTATCATAGTTTACAACTTTGTTAGATACAGTATCCATTCCCCTGAGGAGGTATCTAATTATGCGGTCCCTCTTGGGTATGTCAGACCCTCAATTAGCCTGATAGTCCCATTGGGGGTCTTCACCTGGGATTGCTTTGGGGCCTAAGGGGATCTGGTTATCTATAGCATGATCTTTATCTGCTTGGTTTCTGGCTGCTGCTAGGATGCGCTCATGCTCCTCTACTGTGAGGGTGGAGGTACAGATAACGCGGATATCATGCCAAGTGAGGCTGTATGCTTGAGTGAGGTATTGGAATTCCTTAATATAGGTGGACAGGTCGGCTGAGAAGGATCCTAAACGTTTCTCAATTTGGGACAGGTCTTGGAGTGAGAAAGGAACATGGACCCTGACTAAACCTTCAGCGCCTGCTATTTCTTGGAGTGGGGCCAGGATAGTTGGTTGGTGAGAGCGGGTGTGGGCTGCCACTGGAGAGGCAAGAGGAAGTGTGGCCTCCGAGGGAGGGGTCCCAGAGGGAGTAGAGGAAGAGCGAGGCATGGCCTCTGAGGTAGGAGGTGCAGAGGGAGTGGGGGAAGAGCGTGCTGTTGATGGCGACTGGTTGCTGAGATTGGCAGGAGAGGACAGATGTTCAGGCAGATCCTCCGGTGAGGAGTAGGGAGGGAGAGAGGTAGTGGCAAAAGATTTACGAGGGGTACGAGCTAAGAGGATTTGGTAGGTGGAGCAGGAAGAACATGGGTCGGGGTGGGTACAGAGGTCCCAAAAAGCCTGAACGTAAGGAATTTCATTGTCCTTGCCCATGCGGCGACAAAAATTGTTGAGATCTCAGAGGGTGTTGAAATCGAAAGTGCCAGTCGGGGGCCAATGTGACTGGTTACTGAGTTTGTATTGGGGCCAAGCCACCTGGGACAGGAAGACAAACTTTTTCTTTCTGAGGGTTTGGGAGTCTCCCAATTTTGTAAAATTTCACAGCAAGCACCCAAGGGGGGTGCTGGAAGGTGTTTTGGACTCTGAATTTCCCATGGCAGGCGCAGCTACAGACCCTCCGGCATAGTTGGGCAGATGCAAAGTAAAGGCGTCCCCTTTCATTGCAAATTCCCCAGAGTAAGGGCCAGTGTTGGGTAGGTCGGGGGAGGGGGCCGTGGCCAGGCCAGTGGCCCCAGCCTCCCGGGTTTCAGCACCACTTGTCCGACCTACCCTCTGCGGGAGGACTGAGCTTGTTCGGAAAAAACCGGACCACAGGTTAGAAGAAAATCTTTAAGTTCAGGCTTTACTGAGAGGAAAGAGCCTCCGGGTGGGCCAGCCGGGAAGAAGAGGAAAATGGCCGTGCCACTCAGAGGAGCAGGGTTCTTTTATAGGGGGCTGAAGGGCTGAGGGAGTGGGGAAGCTGAGAGAGCCTAGGTGGTGGGCAACAGTTGGTCAGTTTGAATCACTGGGTGGGAAGCTGGGCGGCGGGAAGCTGGGCGGCGGGAAGCCGGGTGGTGGGAAGCCGGGCAGCGGGAAGCTGGGGAGTGCTGATGAGGCAGAAGCCGGGCGGTGGGAAGCTGGGGAGTGCTGATGAGGCAGAAGCCGGGCGGTGGGAAGCTGGGGAGTGTTGATGAGGCAGAAGCCGGGTGGGAGGTGGCTGTGGCCGGGCGGGAAGGCTAGGGCGGTATGTAGAGTGAGAGATAAGGGAGCCTCTTTGTGGGGGAGGGAAAAAGAGCTTTCACGGTAGGGGCAGAGTTTTCCAAACAGTTTCTTTTCATCATTGTTGGTTTAATGTCTGTTTTATCAGAGACTAGGATTGCAACCCCTGCTTCTTTTTGCTTTTAATTTGCTTGGTAAATATTCCTTCATTCCTCTATTTTGAGCCTATGTGTGTCTTTGCACACGAGATGGGTCTCCTGGATACAGCACACTGATGGGTCTTGACACTATCCAATTTGCCAGTCTGTGTCTCTTAATTGGGGCATTTAGCACATTTACATTTCAAATTAATAAGATTATTATGTGTGAATTTTATCCTGTTATTATAATGCTAGCTGGCTATTTTGTATGTTAGTTCATGCAGTTTCCTCATAGCATCGAAGGTCTTTACAATTTGGCACGTTTTTGCAGTGGTTGGTACTGGTTGTTCCTTTCCATGTTTAGTGCTTCCTGAATGTGGTCTTTTAAGGCAGGCCTGGTGGTGACAAACCCTCTCAGAATTTGCGTGTCTGTAAAATATTTTATTTATCCTTCATTTATGAAGCTTAGTTTGGCTGGATATGAAATTCTGGGTTACAAATTCTTTTCTTTAAGAATATTGAATATTGGCCTTCACTCTCTTCTGACTTACAGGTTTTCTGCCAAGAGATGTACTGTTAGTCTGATGGGCATCCCTTTGATGGTAACTTGACCTTTCTCTCTGTCTGCGATTAACATTTTTTTCTTCGTTTCAACCTTGGTGAATCTGATGATTATGTGCCTTGGGGTTGCTCTTCTTAAGGAGTATCTTTGTGGGGGTCTCTGTATTTCCTGAATTTGAATGTTGACCTGCATTGCTAAGTTAGAGAAGTTCTTCTGGATAACATCCTGAAGAGTGTTTTCCAACTTGTTTCTATTCTCCTTGTCACTTTTAGGGACACAAATCAAGTGGAGATTTGGTCTTTTCACGTAATCCTGTATTTCTTGAAGACTTTGTTTCCTTTCATTGTTTATTCTCTAATCTTGTCTTCTCACTTTATTTCATTGAGTTGATCTTCAGTCTCTGATATCCTTTCTTCCACTTATCAATTCGGCTATTGATATGTGTCTATGCTTCATGAAGTTCTTGTGCTGTGCTTTTCAGCTCCATCAGGTCATTTATGTTCTTCTCTAAACTGGTTATTATAATTAGCAATTCCTCTAACATTTTTTCAATGTTCATAGCTTCCTTGGGTTAGAATATGCTCCTTTAGTTCAGAGGAGTTTTTTTGTTACCTCCCTTCTGAAGCCTACTTCTGTCAATTTGTCAAACTCATTCTCCATCTAGTTTTGCTCCCTTGCTGGCAAGGAGTTGTGTTCCTTTGGAGAAGAGGCATTCTAATTTTGGGAATTTTCAGCCTTTTTGTGCTGGTTTCTCTCCATTTTTGTGGTTCTCTACCTTGGTCTTTGATGTTGGTGGCCTTTGGATGAGCTCTCTGAGTGGACATCTTTTTTGTTGATATTTATATTATTCATTTCTGTTTGTTATTTTTCCTTCTAACAAGTCAGGCCCCTCTGCTGCAGGTCTGCCACAGTTTGCTGAAAGTCCACTCCAGACCCTGTTTGTGTGAGTATCACCAGCATAGGCTGCAGAACAGCAAAGATTGCTTACTGTTCCTTCCTCTGGAAGCTTTGTCTCAGAGTGCCAACTGCCAGATGCCAACCAGAGCTCTTCCGTATGATGCCAGCCGGAGCTCTTCTGTCAGCCCCTACTAGTAGGTGTCTTCCAGGATACATGGGAGTCTGGGACCCTCTTGAGGAGGCAGTCTGTCCCTTAACAGAGCTCAGATGCTTTGCTGAGAGATCTGCTGATTCTTTCAGAGCTGTTAAGTAGAGCTGTTTAAGTCTGCCAAAGCTGCACCCACAGCCACCACTTACCCCAGTTGCTCTATCCCAAGGAGATGGCAATTTTATCTATAAATCCCTGCCTTTTTTTCGGAGATGTCCTGCCCAGGAAGGAGGAATTTAAGGAGGCAGTCTGGCTGCACCAGGCTTGCTGAAGTGTGGTGGGCTCTGCCCAGTTCAAACTTCCCAGTGGCTTTGTTTACACTGCAAAACTGTCTACTCAAGCTTCAGCAATGGTGGACGCCTTTTCCCCCACCAAGCTTGAGGGTCCCAGGTCAACCTCAGACTGCTGTGCTGGCAGTAAGAATTTCAAGCCTGTGGATCATAGCTTGCTGGGCTCTGTGGGGTGGCATCTACCAAGCCAGACCACGTGGCTCCCTGGATTCAGCCCCCTTTCCAGGGAGTGAATGATTCTGTCTCATTGGCATTCCAGGTGCCACTGGGGTATGAAAGGAAAACAAAACCAAAAAACTCCTGCAATTAGTTCAGTGTCTGCCCAAATGGGCACCCAGTTTTGTGCTTAAAACTCAGAGTCTTGGTGGCATAGTCACTGGAGGAAATCTCCTGGTCTGTCGATTGTAAATACTGTGAGCAAAGCACAGTGTCTGGGCCAGAATGCACCATTCTTCCTGGTACAAGGTTTCTCAAGGTTTCTCTTGGCTAAGGCAGGAAAATCCCCTGATTCCTTGTGCTTCCTGGGTGAAGCGACACCCCACCTGCTTTGGCTTGCCCTCTGTCGGTTGCCCCCACTGTCCAACCAGTCCCAAATGATTAACTGGGTACCTCAATGGGAAATGAAGAAATCACTTGCTCTTCTGCATCTATCTCACCGGGAGCTGCAGATGGGAGCTGTTTCTATTCAGCCATCTTGCCAGTAGACACCTGACCCCCATAGATTATCCTTGGATATGCAATTATAATATCTCAATTAATTTTCTCAGCATTCAGACAGTAAGTTTTTTCATAAGCAAAGTAAAGTTTAAGGAAAAGATCATCAGAGAAACTTTTATTTCCAAGCTAACAGAGGAACCATAAATTATTTATTAGGAGGAAGGACAAGCATCCACTTACTTTTTGTTTGTATTTTTCTGGTTATAATATCTATATTTACTACCTTGAGTGATAGAATTTCATATTCACTTTATATATTAAATAATAGGATTTAATACAAATTTAAAATTTGCATACAATTTTCTTTTTAAAAATAGTATGAAAGGTCAGGTATGATGGCTCACGCCTGTAGTCCCAGCACTTTGGGAGGCCAACGAGGGCAGATCACAAAGTCAAGAGATTGAGACCATCTTGGACTACATGGTGAAACCCATCTCAACTAAAATACAAGAATTAGCTGGGTGTGGTTGCACACGGCTTTAGTCCCAGCTACTCAGGAGGCTGAGGCAGAAGAATTGCTTGAACCCAGGAGGTGGAGGTTGCAGTGAGCCAAAATCATGCCATTTAACTCCAGCAAGACTCTGTCTCAAAAAAAAAAAAAGTATGAAGAACATTTTTACTATAATTTGTAACTTTGACATTGGTGAGATATCCTTTGTGACACAGTATACAGTCAATATTTGCAAGTGTTTATATTATTGTTGGTATATATTTCAAATCTTGTTACTTTAATTGTCTTTATACTATTTTTTATCAAATGCATATTAATTTAGATTACCCATATATTGACCTTTCCCATTGTGCCTCAGCATATGGTGTCCTGGCTTGCCCTATCTTACTGCTGCCTTTTATATTGACAGCACTTTATTATGAAATTATAAAGAGAACAGAGAGTTCAAGAGGAGATGAGATTCAAGAAAGAGCTATTAATAATGAATATTTTCCTTGCCAGGCTCTGGAATCTAAATTTTGTCCCCTCAAATCAACAAGTCTATTAAAAGCTTACCATAGCTTCTAAGCACTTCTCACACAGCTTTTCTTTCAATATGTTAACAGACAAATGACTCTAGTTAAACAGTCACCCTAAAAACTAAGTTCATCTTTTCAGACATTTCTTCTTTTCCAGACCTTGGTCTGACAATTCTTCACAGCCTCAGTTGCTCACAAAAGCCTTCAATCAATCTTCAAGAAGATTAATTAAAATATTTTGTCCAGCTTATCTAATTGTTCAATGAGAGAAGACTGATTGGAACCACATACTCAGCTATAGCCAGGAGTAGAAACCTGCCAAATAATGTTTAAACATGAAGCATTAACATTGTGTTGAAATGCATTTTTCCTCCCCTTTTCCTCCAAATAGGTTACATACAGCTTATGAATAAATATTAGTTTTGGTAGAATTTTTCTGGCTTTTCCATGAATTTTATTACTATACTTTGTTTGTATTAATGAAAGTTTTAAGAACTAGTTTTCACATATAAAATAGGTAGTACTAGCTAGTTGCAGTGACTCACGCCGGTAATCCCAGCACTTTGGGAGGCCGAGGTGGGCCGATTACAAGGTCAGGAGACTGAGACAATCCTGGCCAAACCCCATCTCTATTAAAAATACAAAAGTCATCTGGGCGTGGTGGCACATGCCTGTAATTCCAGCTACTTGGGACACTGAGGCAAAAGAATTACTTGAACTCAGGAGGCAGAAGTTGCAGTGAGCCAAGCTTGCACCACTGCACTTCAGCTTGGTGACAGAGCTAGATTCCATCTCAAAAAAAAAAAAAAAAAATAGGTAGTACTCTTCAGACTTTTTGTACAATCATATCACTCAATTATTTTATACACAGTTTATGGTCAAAATAGAATAGTAAAATATCATAAAATTTATTTCATCATCTACCATTTGTTAGCCTAAGTTTTAGTTAATTTTGATGAAATCTATAAATTGGAGACCTCTTGAATTGTAGTGGGATTTGTTTCTCTGTCATTAATTTTCTTACTAGTAACATTCGTATGTTTAATTGACTTTTTGTTTGATGCCTTGAAGTGTCTTTTTACGTGCTAGCACGATGCACTATATTAACACTTAGAGATAAATCAGGGACTTGTCTTTCTTTTGTAAAGGCAAAAGAAGGATTGTGCAGGGCAGATGGGAAAGTAAAACTAATATTGCAACATTTTGGCAGGTCAATTTAGAAAAGAGTAAATACAATTACAGGATCAGGAAATGAATACCTGCAAAAGTATACTGACCTGTGAGTCTCATGAAAAATCATCATATACTCCCTTGAGTAATGATGACCTGTAGTTGAAGAAACCTGATGTATCTCCAAATTCAAGAAATTCTCAGCTGTAATACAGATTAGTAATTTTTTGCCTCAATATATAAAATAAATAGTGCAGGGTAGGCCTAAAATCCTTTGACACAGGCAGAGTTCCTATGCTTTTTTTTTTTTATTTTGTCTTTTTTATACATTTCCTATCTTAACCACACAACTAATAAAGATAATCATATGATATTCCATTAGGTTTAAGATTACTATTATGTTTATTTTTTCTGGCTTGCATTTACAAATTGTATGCTTATGATATTTATCCTTGATGCATTACTGTCATCCTATGAGGGCTGGTATTCAATATAATTAAGAATTGCTTAAAAATCTTTAATCATTTTTTCTCTCCTTTTGTTGATACCATTTTTATTTTCTTCCATTTCTTTCCTTTTCTTTCAATCTTTCTTTCTCTTCTGCATTAAACCTGTATTTAACAATAATTAATAAGATATGAACGTTTATGCTTCACTTTTTTATTTAGATCCTATTAAATAAATTTTATTTTTCTCTTGTTCTTGAATCTCCTCCTCTTTTGAATTATACAGAGGGGATTAATGTTTAATATCGCCAATCTCTTTCTCTCTCTGTGTGTGTATGTGTTTGCATTATATTAAAGATTGGTGTCATTCCACTTCTTGATTGTTCTTTTTTAATATTTGTTCTTTTTAAATATTTAATATTTTAAATATTTGTGGGTACCTAGCAGGGCTATATATTGATGGATTCCATGAGCTATTTTGATATGGCCATAAAATGAATAATAATTATGTCAGGGTAATGAGGTATCAATTACCTCAAGCATCTATCCTTTGTGTTATGGAAATCCAATTCTACTCTTTTATTTATCTGTAACTATATAACTAAATTAATTTTTACTGTAATCACCCATCTGTGCTAGCCAATACTAGGTCTTATTTATTCTTTCAAAGAATTTTTTGTACCCATTAATCATTTGACTTCCTCCCTCACCCCCGTACTATCCTTCCCAGCCTCTGGTAACCATGCTTCTCACTTTCTATCATCATGAGTTCAATTATTTTAATATTTAGCTCTCACAAATAAGTTAAAACCTGCAGTTTGTCTTTCTCTGCTTGGCTTATTTCCATTAGCATAATGACCTCTAGTTCCATCCATGTTGTTGCAAATAACAGGATCTTATTCTTTTTTTATGGCTGAATAATACTCCATTGTGTATAGGTATCACATACCTAGGTATTGCTGCTGGTTATTTAGGGTGCAAGGCTCTTTAGTCAGCAGCTGATGGATTATGCCAGGACTCTGGGTTCTTCTCTTTAAAGCAGCAAGTTCCCTTCTGGTACAGGGTGTGTCTAGAAATATCATCTTGAAGCTAGGGCCTGGAATGGAGGGCTTCATAACCCTATCTTACTGTGACTGAGAGGGTTTCCAGGATTCAAAACAAAGGTCCTCTTTACTCTTCCCTTTCCTCTCTTCAAGCAGAAGGTTTGGTTCTGATTTGGAGCGATAAGCTGTGTTGCCTAGGTTTCAAGGAATGTTGGCACAAGCACTCCCTTAGCTGCCCTGGCTGGTCCTGAGTCCCCCAAGTCCACTGACTCTAAGTCCAGATCAGCACTAAGACTTGCCTACAAGTTTCAGTCCTTATTGCCTAGACAGCCTTTCTAGTTTATATAGTGTCCCAGAGCAATTTAGCCAATGGTGGCGGGGCTTACCAGAACTCAAATTCTGACTGCTAGGAAGGGCAATTCTCCTCTGGCTAGAGCTGAACTAAATGCTCCCTCCATGGGTGGGATTCAGCTGAGTTCAGTCATGTTTTGCTTTCCACTGAGACAGGGAGCATTGAGTTTAATGCAATGTCTCGAAATCACTGTGCTCTTCCTCCTCCAAGCATATGGACTCTCTCTCTGCACCAGGCCGCTGGGGTATGGGGGAGGGGATAGCATCAGCAATGCAAGATTGTCTTTCCTGTGCTTTTCAGTGCTTCTTTTAGAGATGTGAAGTTAGAACCAGGTACTGTGAATGCTCACTTAATTTTTGGTTCTTACGAAATTTTTGGTGCTTTTTCTGTATAGTTGTTAAATTTGGTGTTCCTGTGGGGGAGATGATTCATTGGAGGCTTCTATTTGGCCATCTTGCTCCACATCTCTTTTTTTTTTTTTTGAAGCTTATATTTTCCTATCTTTACTCTTCTGCTTTATATGTCTCTGTTCATTTGTTCAATGTTTCAGGTGACTTCCTGAATATTGCCATTTAACTGATCTGTTGAACTTCGTTAAAATATTTCTATTACATAATTTATATAAGTTCCTTCTATTTCTGATTATTAATTTTATGATATCTTATTCATGTTTCATCAGTACCCTATGTTCTACTATCTCTCTGAGGATAATAATGTGTATATAGGTGAGCATAAATGTATGTAATTATTTTCTTTATGAGAATATAAAATATTTGCAAATAATATGGGTGTGTGTGTGTCTGTGTGTATCTGTGTGTATGGGTACATGTGTGTATGTGTGTGTGTATGTATATATATAGTTTCTATTTCCTAAATTGTTTCTGCTTTTATATAATTATTTTTTTTTGTTTTTCTTTCATCCTTGTCTTTTATGATGAAAGACTTTACTCAACTTTCTGGTGAGTCTTTAGGTATTATTTGGAGATGTATATATGTAGATGAGCATAGACGAAAAGAGGTTTTATTGTAGAAAATCTGGTGGGAACCCGATAATTTTTGGAGTAGATCATGAAATATCATTTTTCTAGATTGGAGAGTACTAGTTACCTGGATTTGGGGTGATAAAATAGGAATTCTGATATTTCTACTGTTCTGATATAAACTTTTAAATAACTAACCTGCTTTTCAGCCTTACCATTTGCCCACATCTTGAGATATTTGTTTACTCAATAAATAAAACTTTCTAGAGTATTACATCGCAGTTCAATATTTTTTGATTTGTGGCTTTTTCTTTAACACTTAGGTTGTAGTGTTCACTGCTCATCTAAATCAGTTAACACTCTAAACTGACTTACTCTTCTATAATTTCACTGACATCTCCCATGTGTTGTCATGTCTACTATTCTCTTTGTCTTTGTTGATTTATAAAATTATGTGCCTTTACTGGTGCTAAGCTAGAATTTTGTAAGGCAGAAATGGTAAAGATATTTCTCAATATATTTATCTGAAGAATTAAAGTTGATGTCAAGGCCAGTGGTATTTTCTGATATTGATATGAGAGGAGTGAATATTTTATTTTTTAAAATCAAAGAGTAAAAATCTGGAAGAATGAATTTACCTTCCTTCATACTCAGGATATTATATTACCAAACTGCTTAAATGATGTGCCACAATAGAAGGAGACTGAGAAATAGAAAATACACTTATTTCCATCTTGTTGCAATAACTTGTGTGTGTGTGTGTGTGCATGTGTGTCTGATTCATCTTTCTAACATCTTTAAAGCCTAAGGCACTTTTTTTATACACTGAAAAATGACAAATATTGTCCTTTAATGCACGGATACTAGTTTATCATAAGAACTGCTTATCAGTTTTTTAGTATGTATTTTCACAACTATGTTTAAAGAAGAGTATAAGAATAAAAGTATGAGATTTTCTATTTTTAGGTACATTTTGGAAAAACAACACATCTATTTTTCTTTTACTCTTCTTTCTCAATTTATTTTATTATATTTTATCTTCAAAATTCTTTATTTCTTTTTCCTTTTTTCCAAATACTTTTAAATAGTCTCAGTCATTTCACAATTGGCTAATTAGTGATATGCACACAGTTTTCAAATTGACATTTTTCAACCCTATTCCATTCTTGAGCAGCATAACTACATTTTCATTTCTTACTAGACACTTAGATACTAATACTTTTCATCACCTCAACTCATATTTACAAATGCTGTTTTTGTCACAAGTTGATTATGATTATAAAGAATGAAATACTAATTTTTCTTTGTCTCATAAGTTATTTTAATTCATTCTCCAAAAAAAGAAAATACAGTTACTTTGCTTCCAGAAAGACAGTAGATATCTATATATAACTAAAATGCCTGAACATTATATATAAAAGAAGCACTAGAAGATTGTAAGGTAGAGAGAAAACAGATGGCCTAGACAACAAAGATACAAGGAATGACATGGTGGAGAATTCCATAGGTTTTCTTTTTGCCTCATATATTGCTAGCTTAGAGCTAAAGAAGCCAGCAATTCTAAAACATGAATAGATACAACACCACCAAAAATAGACTTCTGCTGTCGACAAGTTAATAACAGGTCACCTTGATGCTTTCTTCAGTGGTGTCAGAAAAGGCTGAGTCAGGAGGCAGAATTTTCATCTTCCATGAGCAATAATAGAGTCATACATGTTGTGTCAATGGAGACCATGTGGAAATCCTGGGTTTCCATCCTCAACTGGCCATGACAAATTATTCCCCCTCTCACCACTGGGATGATGTCAGAGTGCTAGATGAGGCCTAGTGAACAGTCAAGACTTTCACCACAGCAAAATGGTAGGGAGGCCATCACGACTCTTCCTCACTATGTCAGTGGAAACCACGTGAGAAGCAGTCACTCCCCACATGGTTTCCATTCCCATCACTCTTATATCTCCCAGCCACAGAAATGTCAGTGGAGGCTTCATGGGTAGCCACAACTCCCATCCCTACACAGCAGCAACAGAGTCCACTTCCTAAGGTGTCAAATGTGACAGATAGGAAAAGTTAACTTCTATAGCACATGCCTGTGAAAAGGTTGTAATACTCACAACACCGCTTGGACAAACATAATATCTTATGTAAGATATCTTAAGTAAGATAATATCTTACTTAAAGTAAGATAGAGTCTTATAATATGCAAAATATCTATATTTTAAAGAAAAAACTGTTATACCAAGAACCAGGGAAATCTCAAACAAAATACAAATAGATAATCAATAAATGTCAACACTAATATGTTAGACATAATTACCTAACAAAGCTTTCTAAACAGTCATCATAAAAGTATTTTAATGACCAATGATTAATACATTTGAAACAAACACATCAAATTATAGTCTCAGCAAACAAATAGAAAGTATTAGCAATGAAATAAAGATGTGAAGAGAAAACAAATGGAAAGTTTAGAACTAAAACATGCAATAACTGAAATAACAAACTCAATAGGCCGGATCCACAGGAAAGAAAGAACAGAGAAAAAACTAATGCATTAGAAAGTAGAATTGTAAAAATTACCAATTTGAATATCAGAGACAAAGCAGACTAAAAAGAAAAAGAGTCAGAGGCTGCTAGACTATGACAAAAGTTATAACATTAGTATCACTGGAATCACAGAGGGAGAGGAGAAAGAAGTCAGCATGAGAAATCCCCTGGCCATATTATTCAATGTACACACACCAAAAAAATACTGGACAACCATTTCATATATATTTATAAGAAAAACTCCAGAAAAATAGGAATAGAAATAGCTAAACCATCTTGTTAAAGAAAGTATACAAAAAAACCCACTAGGTAATGTTATACTTAATGATGAAAGACTTGGTGTTTTTCTCTTACAATCCAGAACAAGACAAGAATGTCTATGGCAGTCAGGTTTATTCAATGTAAAACCAGAAGATTTTGCCGGTGCAGTAATGCAAGAAAGAGATAATAAAGCCATACAGTCAGGAAAGGAAGAAACAAAACTGTCTTTATTATAAATTATATAATTGTCCCAAGAGGAAACATCAAGGAATCTCCCAAAAAACATCTAGATATTACAAGTATGTTTAGCAAGTTTGGAGGGTATGAAATACATATTCAAAAACGCGTTGTATTTCTAAGTACTAGTAATAAACATGTGAATATTGAAATTTAAAAATTCAAAAAGATTTTCAATTATTAGATATTAATATTTACATTAAAGTTTAATTAATATTATGTCGAAATACATAAATTAAATATTTAGGTATAACTCTTAACAGAAATGTATAGAACTTACCTGCTTAAAAATGGAAACTGACCAGGCACGGTGGCTCACGCCTGTAATCCCAGCACTTTGGGAGGCCGAGGCGGGTGGATCACGAAGTCAAGAGATCGAGACCATCCTGGTCAACATGGTGAAACCCCGTCTCTAGTAAAATACAAAAAATTAGCTGGACTCGGCAGCGTGTGCCTGTAATCCAAGCTACTCAGGGGGCTGAGGCAGGAGAATTGCCTGAACCCAGGAGGTGGAGGTTGTGCTGAGCTGAGATCGCGCCATTGCACTCCAGCCTGGGTAACAAGAGCAAAATTCCATCTAAAAAAAAAAAAAAAAAATGGAAACCACTGCTAATAGAAATGAAAATTTTAAATACGTGCAAAGAAATACCATGCTCATGGACTGTAGGACTCAACATGACAAAATTGTCCCCTCTCTTCAAATTGATATATGTTTAGTGCTTTTTCTTTCAAAATTACAGCAATATAGATATAAACTATTTTAATATTTATGTAGAATGGCAGAAGATATAAAATTACTAAAACCATTTTGAAAAAGAATATAAAATCTGGAAGCACTCTAAGCATTTCAAGACCATGACATGGTTACAGTACTCAACCCTGTGCATTATTGA